ATGTTCTGCTGACCAAATTACAACGAACGAAGATGTTCCACTGAAAGCTGCCATTGTATTCTTTTAGTATGCTAACTAATTTTACGCGCGTAAATAAAGCACACAAAATAGAAAATCAAAAATTGAGGAAATACATCGAAGTCCCAACGTAATCGGAATCAAAGTACAGTCGTAACTTTTATTACGACCAGTTTGTACGGGAAATGCAAAAGCCCAATACGAAAAAGAGATAAGAGGCGTGGTTTTTTCCGAACTTCGTAACACACTCAACCACATTCCCAGTATGTACATTCCACTTCGATCTTTCAAGCAATTGACAATAAATCTGGGCAATAAAACTAAGACAAAAATCCCTTTGTCCGGAGTAAGACAAAGTTCAGTATCTTAGCGTCTTGGTCGCACAAGCGTCGAAATTCGACACAGTTCTGTCAACGCGAGCAAACGAAAGAGTGAGAGACAGAGAGAGAGAGAGAGAGAGGGGTGGGGGAGGAAAAAAGGGTTTCTCAGAAAATCCAGAAGATTTCTTCGCAAAGGGCAAAATAAATCAAGGTCCAAACGCGGATACGTAAATCTGTGCCGATACAAATCTACGACACGAGAGTCTCCGTCATGCCATTCGTTTATGTGTATCTGCGTAAATGGAATTTTTGCGAGATAGTTTAGCTTATAAAGAGAGAGAGAAGAGAGAGAGAGAGTAAAAGTGAGAGTCGGCGATAGAAGTAAAGCGACGAGGGCATGGCGAGGCGAGGGACTACGTATATAGAGGCAGAAAGAAATGTGGAGAGGGGCAGAATGACTCGCCCAATTCCATTCTCCTCGCAAGTATAAGCTCGGCCGCAAACTTAAGCTCTGTATAGAAGCTTGCCGTTCGCTCGCGCGAAAAGGGGTGGCGAAGTGGAGTACTGTCTGGCATGGTCAGACGGCGGCCGTGTTGTAATACGCGCGCCTCTCACCTCTTCCCCACCCAGGAGAAACGCCAGACAGACAGAATCAAGAGACGGCTTATTTGTCGGCTATTCCACGGTATTGCCTCTCCTGCGAAACACTTATCAATTTACCCAAAGAAACTCGCCCTACCTAATTCTATTATCTCGGCTCTCAATTTCACTTTCTTCTCTCGTTCTTACGACAATCTAGGCGAATAATCTTTTCTCGTTTACTGATCTCTTTCACGTTTCAATTATCAACTTTCTTTATGTAGATTTTTAATTTCTACAAGAATAAAATTAACAATAATATCAGTAATAGTTTAGAAAATTTGTCAATGATTCGAGAAAAAACAATTAGAAACGTAATAAGCAGCCTACCTTTAATATCATTTTCAAACAATCGCATGACATAGTGCGAAATTTTCATTAGTAGTTACATATCGATGACACTGTACGACACCATTGACCAAAAAAAAAAGACTGCAACGAGAAAACGATCGTTACCGACAAAACTGCCTTGGGATTTTTTTACATCGTTTGATGGGAAATTCCAAGCAATAAGAAAACAAAGCCGTCGTAGCAAATAAAAAAAATACGCAGTCGTAAAAACAAAGAAATTATCAGACAGAAAGCTCTATTATACCTCGAGGGATGAGATGAAGAAGAGGATAAACTAGGCGGAAAAAAGGAGATGGCCGTCGAGGTACGATAAACGGCGTCCTGCTCAAGGCTAGGAGAAATAATTGAAAATAAAAACGATCACACTGTAACAACTACGACGAAAGAGTGATAGCAAGTCGGAGTGACCAAATAAACGAAAAAAAAAATGAAGTAAGAAGAAGAAAAAGGAGAAGAAAAAAGAAGATCCACGTAGAAGTAAAATATGAAGTAAAAGAGATGCGGTCGGTGCTAAGGAGATAAGGAGAGAGAAGAGCAGCGATGCAGGTTAGAGAAGAGCTATGCGGTGAAGGCAAACGGGCGACAGACGCTTATCCCCCGCGCAGTCCGTGACTCACCAAACCGTTATGGGATGAAGCTGCGCCACTCTTCTTTCTGTTATGTCTCTCTCGCATACTGTGTATGCACACAATTGCGAATCTCTTGTACATATACCAAATACCGAGCAGCTTTTCTATATATCTACGCATCGTGCCACTATGCGTTTATGCCCTTCGGCTTGCACTTGCTTTACCGCTGCAGTCTGCGGATTTTGGAATTTCCAAGCTATTCCAAGGGTTTTTACTATCCTCTTTGTCCTTATATTGGACGGTGCAGTGATTTGCGAGGCGTAACCTGTTTTTGTAAGAGCAGCATTATTTGGCTCGAGACTACTCTGTACCCTACTCCGCAAGAGAACATGTAACTGGAATATGTACTTACGTTGATTGCCTTTTGCTAAGTGATATATTTTTTTTTAAATAAATGGCGAATTTCACCGAAAAGGTTAATTAGAAGTTTAATTAGAAATAACGTGTATAAAAAACGTGAAATTTCTTAGAAATAAATACGTCAGATAAGTAACAGCCACGTCTATGGAATTAATGTCTAGAAAAACAACGGCACAAATATCTGTGCTAGATAAACGATGGTTTCCTTATTCTAGCAAAAGCTACCGAGTTTCTCTATATTCAAATTCTAGTAATGAGAAATATTCGAGAATTCATATGTAGAGACGTAAACAATGAATAGCCCACGAAAAGGAAGACAAAAGTAACTGGCAAATTTTATATTCCGCGAATGCCTACACGTATATTATAAATGAAAAGGTAGCTTTGCTTCGAGGAAAGTTAAACTTGTTGAAAATAACGTGGAATCGGTCGTCCGTATTTACGTATCCGTCAGGCATTACTATTTCTAATTAATTTAATTATATTTGCTTTCATTCCGCTTCGCAAAACCCATGGTAACCAGTATGAAATTTATTAAATTAAATTTTCACTTACGTCATAACCAAGCAACGCACGTATGCTGTTCTTTCTACGAAACATAAATACGACATCGACTGGATGAACAAAAGAAAGAAGTGTACCACAACGCGAATCAGTTGCACGTGGCGTTTGTCATTCGTAGTCATTAATTTGTAGAACGTCTCGAGGATCGAGAGAGTGGGGAGTAGAAACGTAACCTCGCGGATAATGGAAGTTTAATAAAGTCGAGTAAATCTCGTACTTCACCTAACTTTGTTTCAGATTTTCTTTTCTTCCATCTCCCTAGAGCTCGGAGTGACTGGATCGCTACTTGTAGTACGCGCTATCTATTATGTAACGACCGACGAATAAAAAAAACTAAAAAAAGAGAAAAACAGAGCGAGAGAAGGAAAAAGGAGCAAAAAGAAAGCAAAGAAGCAGAGAGAAGAAAGGCGAGCAGGAGAATCTCCATTGCATGAACTATTTCATAATGCAACGAGAGCAAAACGAGCAAACCTCCTCTTCATAGTCTTGCGCGCAACGTCGATATTCCGCGGCGCGCACGAGGCGAGCTTAATATACTTAGTATGTTTACATTGCTAAAGCCGTGGCGCGACACGAAGGGACACACACACGGCACAGGTATCGCGGTCTTCGCCGCAGCCCAAGCTCTCTCCTGTTGCAGGTCGCGCGCCGAGAAGCGGAAAAAGAGTGGGAGAGGCGAGCGAGGCAAATGTCGAAATCGCTCGAGACAGTTCAATCAGAAATATAAAACGGAAATGTGATGTGGTACCGGGAGTGGCATGTGTGCGAGAGAGAATGAGAAAAATCGATCTCTTTATCCCTTCTCTCTCGGCTCTTCGGGAGAGAATCCGCTCTGCAAGCTTGGAGCGCAGCAGCGTAGCTATATGCGAGCGAGCTTGCGACAGAGCAGCAGAGAGCGATATAGTTGGGAAAATATCGCGACAATATAGTTGGGCGAAGTTACTCGGTGCTTCGCGGATAAATTCGCATTACGGGAGGGCGCGCGATTTATAGCGTTGCAGTCTGCCAGTCGATAAGCAATGTCCGACGACACGCATTAGGCTGACTTCGGGCACACGCGCTCGCGCGCGTCTGCGTCTGTGCCTGTGAAATGTGAAATAGCATCCGCCTAGATATCCTTCTCCCGTTTCTCTCGTATGCACTCATTTTGAATATTCACTCGAATGTCCAACTGACTTCGACACGTTTTTTCGATACGTAATTTATCCCTCTAGCTAACATCTCTAGCTTCTGTTTTCTTCTACACGTGTATTTCGTTCTACTGTTGTTATAATTTCATTATTAAACTGCGCTGCATTTCATTTTATTCTACTGTAATTTCAAAAACAAACAATCAATTTTAGACTATTGAATACTTAATTACATCATTCAACTGCTGTTAGGATAATTTGCATAAAAAAGCCGTTGAAAGATAACAGTTTTATAAGCGGAAAAATACTTTTTAGTCCATGGCCCATAGCCCAAAGAGTAAGAGAGAGAGAGAGAGAGAAGGAAAAGAAAAAGAGGGTGCACTTGCGCCAACGACCCCATAACTGTTAAGCAATAACTTTATTCAGCCGATGTAGACTAGAATACTCACCAGAAAATTATTAAGATGATTTTAGTTTTTCATAATATCAGTTGCGAGCATCCTTTCATCTTTACTTTGCTTTGTAATTGATGACTTGAACAGCTCATCTAGTTTTTTAATCGCAATAGACAAAATTATATTGTTTAATTGAAATTTAAATACACGTAGAAAGCTTTCATTGTTTCGCAATATTCGTTTGTTTTTCTTTCAAGAAGGCAATACCATATTTGTTAGAGGGATTAAACCTTTTTATTTTCTCAAATTATTTTTAAAACTCAGGTCCCTGCTAAATGTCAATAACATAATAGCTACTACTTATCTGAACGACTTACGTTCAAGTAGTAACTTACCTCTTTGGTCAGCCATTATGGAAACTATTTCTTCGCAGAAAGTCTGAATTTCCAACTGCTATTTATACGAGTAGCAGGTTCTGATCAACCTAAAATAACAATAGATGACTAGAAAATAACAACATAATGAAACAATTGCTTATGCAAATGAATTATAATGATATAGTAAATGAAAAACTAATTGTATTTTTTGTTTCAGGGCGAACATTAAATGGTCAACCATTACTCGACTTTCCATTATCAAGTAGCGAACCAGCAGTGGATCCAATGAGTATTAAAAAAGCAACGCTGTGGGCAAGAGTTGAAATAAAACATCCGCATCACTATCATCGCCAACAGAACTTGAAAAGCAAGAACAACATTACGCTTTTCGTGTTCAAAGTGCGATGTGGCAACATAACGCACTTGCGTGGCAAGGTAAATCGTTCAATTGTGTATTCGACTTTATTACTGCAACGGAGAAATATAATTTTCATTAGCATATAATTTCTGCAAAATGATTTTATAGACTCCAATGCTCTAATATTTCAGTTGAGACCTCCCGCACTTAGCCTCATTTGGTCGTAAATATTGTGACTCAGACACAGTGAAATAAACATTTGAGAACAAGGCATTATTTATATTTCCTCGAACGACGCGCAAAACCTCAATAAGTCTTGTATGTATACAAAACAAATTTTCCATAGATATACGGAACTATAGTCTGACAAACAACCAACTAGGATATAGAGTTCTGTATACACTTGGTATCCAAAGCATTTTGCATTGTCTATTTATATATTGTGCATCAATAGAATAAACGAAAAGAAAAAATCGCACTGGTGTGAAGTGACGGCGGTAGGAAGTGGATCGGTAAGAGAAAGAGAGAGAGAGAGAAAAAAGATACGGGGTTGAGCAATCTGATTTGACTTATTACCATTTGATCCTATTAAAACCTTTGCCAATCTGTGACGGTTATACTCGTTTGATATAATATCTTTGCTACACTGTCCTTCCCCCTTACCCTTCTCCTTTCATTTCCCACGGCAGCTCGCGGCAGTGGCGTGGCATTTGCGCGGCTTCCGTGCCTATAATACACGTATGTACTTCGCGCTCGCTCTCGGTAATTCTAGTTACGAATGATCTTTAAACGGTGGAGGCCGTTAACGCGCCACTTTTTCTACTCATGACACTTTTGCGCGTGTATTTCAACACTTGTTCGGCTTTTCTGAAGACCATTATTCTTAAACTTCCAATAAACTCGCGCTTCGCTTCTGTTTCTTTTCTTTTTCTTTCTTCTGTCAACGTTTTCCACATTGAGAAGAGTATTCGTTCACAGGAGCTGGACAAGCACCTGGAAATGGAGACGCAGCTGGTGGTGAACATCGGACAGCTCGGTTGGCTCAAATTCGACGTGACGAGGGTGGTGTACAACTGGTACCAGACGTTCAACAACAAGGACAAGCTCACCCTCCTGGTCGACTGCTCGGGTTGTAAAGACTGGCACGTTCACGTGTCTACCTTCGGGGGTCGTTCGCCCCACGTTGTAGAGCCGTCTTTAAATAGCAAAAGTAAGCGTCGACGTCGCAGCGTCCGTAATGCACAATCCCAGCCCTGCGTTACGCCGCTTCAATTTAATCGCTCGGCGATATTCTCTTACCATCACGTCCACGCGACAGGCCATTCTTTGCCGAGCGTTCTCTTTCAAAATGTCAATTAGCTCGGACAATTTATACTCCGAACGATGTGGCTTGTTACATTTTGTTACGGGCGGCCGTTGGACGCGCGGTACGGCTGCGCGTGTAACGTGTATTATGCAACAAAGGAAAATCAATGTGGAACGGTTGAGTTGTCGAGGAAGTATGTACGTAGCAATAAAAAAAAACGCTCGCATGAATATACATAGATTAGCTGACGAACAGCAGAGAAGGTATATCTCACGCTTCGAGGATTTCTCAACCGTGTCGCAGTGATGGTCGCGGTGGAGGCGTCAAGAGCTGCGAATTCACGCTGCGCTTTAAAGGGGGCAAACTGTTCTTTTTAGGCGCGCAAGATCCAGACCGGCCGTTTCTCGTCGTCAGGACGGATCCCACGGCTGTGAAGAGAGTCAGGAGACGGGCCATCGAGTGCGACGACGACGTCAAGGGGCAGTGCTGCAAGCAGCGCTTCTACGTGAGCTTCGCCCAGCTCGGTTGGGACGACTGGATTATCGCTCCCCAAGGGTAAGCCCAGATCGGTACCAAACGGCTGTTTGTACTTTTTTGCGGTCTTCCGAGTTACAGTCTCTTTGATACGATTGACGTTTTTCATTACTGTCGCGCGTCGTAAAATATCGCGTCGGGGCGAGAAAAGAACGATCTAGAGAATGATATTTGGCCCAAATTTCTACTATTGTCTGACGCGCTTTTGCTCGCGACAGAAAAACGGTGTGTCAAGGTTTTGCCAGTGGTCTGCCAACTGTTCGCTCTCGTGTATAAAAAAACGCACACTCCCGATTTGCATAAAGGTCAGTGAGAATCTATAAGCGATATAAATTAATAACACTCGGCTCGTAAATAAAAGCAGGTCAAGTGTTTTCTTTTCTTTGTTTTATTCGTCGAACGCTCATATCGACACACGCGACAGATTGTTGCAAAATTGATGCATCGCTGTATGAATAAGTTGTTCGACTGCGAAAACTCGAATATAATCGCTCTACTTCTAAACTTTAACTGTTAATTGTTGTTTGCGAACAATTAAAATTCATAACGTACGTCGTGAAAACTTTATATTTTTCACTGTAGGAAAGAGCCGCGAGTGGCCAAGTTCTGCCGATCGAGGGATTCCCCCTAGAAAAAAAAAATAAATCCGTGTATTAGTAACAAATACCGTGTGTGATAATGCAATAAGACTAAATAGACGGCGCGTTCACTCATTCGAATACTATCCGCGGTAGTATTGTGCAATAACGTTCCGTTGAACTCGTCGCGTAGTGGCGCGACACGCGAAAGGTGTGATGTAAAATAATGTCGATTCTTTTTCATGTAAAGTTGTCGACATGTAGCTACAGACATTCGTAGGGTATCGTAAAACCGACGCAGGTCGTGAACTAATGCACCGAGGTGGAGGCGAGAGAGACAGAAAGTGGGAGAGAGAGAGAGAAAGAGAGAGAGCGAGAGAGCTGGCGGATTATTCGCAAAATTATTGATAAAATGTAGACGCCTGAAGCCGGTGCGAATGCAGAATAGTATTAAAAGACATTAGAGAAGCATGTGAAGCACTGGCCGAGCAGACGAGTAGTCGGATTAGGCGGCGCCTGAAACGTCAGAATGGAATTGTAGGTGATAATGCTCCGTTGACAGGTACTACGCGAACTACTGCAGAGGCAACTGCGCCACGGGCCCGAGGACACCGGACACCTTTCCGAATTATTACACGCACGTGATCGAGGAGTACCGTAGGATGGACCGACTGGCCGGGATGCAGCCGTGCTGCGCGCCCCTCAAATTCTCGCCGATGTCGCTCATCTACTTTGGGCCGGACTCCAACATAATTAAGCGGGACCTGCCGAAAATGGTCGTCGACGAGTGCGGCTGTCCCTAGACGTACGCACGGCATCAGCAGCAGCCTCCCTCGCTCAACGGATCAACACAACTAGAAGCGCTTTCACAACTCGATTCTACTTCTTCTTCTTCGACTGTACTTCTTCTTCTTCTTATTCGTATTCGCTAAGCGAATTGTTCTTCTTTTAATTTTTCCCTCCCTCATTCATTATTGAATATCAAGCAGAGATTAGACACTCACACAGAGACGTGGTTTCTTCTCCTCTCTCGTAACCTGTCGCTGGATCTAGGCGACAGAACAAATAATAACGCAAGCAATACATATAGTTAGGATCCCGAAATAAATTTAAACAAATAAAACGTTGTAAAGCGTTTGCGACGAGTGCGAGGCAAAGCTAGACACAAGTAAATCAGTCTTGAGTTAGTCTAATAAAATGACCGCGAAAGAGAGAAAGAGAGAGAGAGAGAGAGAGAGAGAGAGAGAGAGAGCGAAAGAGTGCGTATAGAAAGAACTTAAGGATCGCTAGAGAAATGTTATTGCGGACTGTGCGACAGATTTTGACCGAGAGCTTAGTCCTTTTTTATTAGTTGCGAAATATACTTTACGAGTATATGTATATATACGAGACCGGAGGTTTATCCAAATATTATATATTATATATATAAATATATATACGATGAAAGAATGAAGAAAGAGCGATTAAGATTTAGGTGTAAACAATGAAACTCAATCTAATTGCCTTGTTTTTTATGCAAAAACCTATGAAAGTATCGAGTAACGATTTAAAACAAAGTCGGAGCACTATTGAAAAAGTCTATATATATGAAAATCTTATATATATATTATATATATGCGCGCGCTGGATGACGACAAAAGATGGGATTCTAAGCGCGTTTTGACGTACAGGCGAGAAAAAAATAATTAAAAGTTCAAAAGCTGAGAAAAAATACTATTACTTATATTATTGATGAAAATAATAAGAAAAAAATAAATAAATAAACAAAAGAGGAACCTAAGAGGTAAGGGGTGTAATATGTAAGTTTTGAAAATTTTACAAAGCATGTTGAATTACCCGATATCTCGAAGACCGAGTTTGTACACTTTAAATGATCTTAGGACATTCCGTAAGTTAGTTAAACTTATACATACAAGAAAAGCAAGAAAGCTAAAAATATATTAAATTTAATATTAAAAAATATGAAATACGAGGGAGAGACGAATGTACTGAAGGCGAGGAATGAGAATTTCAAAAGAACAGGCAAAACTTTGAAGTTATAACGGGCTCGGAATAAAGGAACAAAAATACGGTGAATGATATGAGTGACATTTACAATAATTATTCTTAAAAATAATGGCGCAAAAACAAAAACAACAAAAAATTTATGACAATAATGAGAATGTAATAAGACAATGCTCATATTTGCCATGAGTCACATGATAGGGCTGACTGATTTTGATTTTCTCGTTTTTCGGGGGGAGTGGACACGCCAATTCAGTCACTTTGCAAAATTGTAATTAGATATTGTAGGGTAAGGATGTGTACGAAAGAAAGAGAAAACTAAACGTGAAGGACACCAGCAAGGGTTTTGTTAAGGTTAAAGTTGAGAACCACACCAAGAGCTTGAAGCTTTGATAAAAGCAATTAGTACTGTAGAGAGGATCTAGCGTTGATGCATTAGAGGACTGCACGGATAGATGACGCACTGACACGTGAAGGACGAGTTCGAGTTTGTAAAACAAAATAAAACAACCAGACGGGCAGACGGTGAACGAAAAATGAAAGCGTTTTTAAAGATATATTAAATTTTGTGGGATAAATCGTTGACCCACGCAGCCTTACTGGGCCTTATTAAGATATTACCGCATTACTACTAAATTAATAATGAATAACAAAAATATTTAAGCTACTTCCAATATTCCCCATGCAAATAAACATAAAGAAAAAATTTTGAAAAAATATAAAATAATGCTACTGTTGGTAAGCGGAGGCGTTCTAGACATTTTTTTCTGATGCAATGAAAAAAAATAAACGTAAATCAAAAGACAGACTGTTGACGTAAGAATATGAAGAAAGTCAGAAGCTCAACGTAAATATAAGGGAGAACGGTTTAAAAAGAAATAAAAGATGTTTTTCAATTTTACAGCTACTAGCCAAAATAATAAAAAAAAATGAAAACTATTGCGTCCAAGTGAAGAATGAAAAGACTTGTGTAACATTAGCGTAATTATCGTTAAAACTTTTTTTTTTGAACGTGCATTATTACACGGAGAGGACAACAAAAGAAATAATAGCGAATAAAATCAGAAGTGATATTAATAAAGGAAACAAAAGTAATAATGAAAGTAAGAAAACACGGGATGTTGATTCGTATGAAAATAAAAACTCGAAAAAAGTACCGACGCCTTTTCGTTTCAAGGACTATGTTTAAAAATCATCCAACATGGGCCTATCAAAACTACTAATCTCTGTATAAAAAGCGAGCCAGAAAAGTATTAAAATGTAAGGATGGCAAAAATTAATTACTTGAATCTATTCATTACCGGAATAAAATACTCGCGGCTTTCGACTATTTCCACGGCTTCTTTCAAATAAAAAATATATATAGATATATAAATATAACTGAATTCAGCGCTGAGAAATTGACTTATTGAGAAGATAATGAGTATCGCGTGCAATAACAAAAGGGAAATGGAATAAAGATACGTTTGACGACGCAGGGATCGCAGAAACTGGCCTATCACAGTATTTTCTGCAAATTGTCATTGTCTTGTCAGAGTCAAAATTTCAGCGAAAGAAAAAAACGCTACTGAAAATTAAAAAAAAACATTGTACAAGCGTATTCTCAGGTACATATAATGATAAGTGCAGGGAGAGGACGGCAGAGGAAAAGTTATTTCATAATTCACATTATATTCTTAAATCATGAACGAAAGTGATATAAAGAATCTCTCTGAGAGTTCTTATGCGAAATGACGAGGCAAGGTGGCATATTGTTTCGGTCCAGCTGTTTTTGTACTATACCGTCTCTCGTTAATACAGTAAAAAAATCAAATGTGTATTGGACTTTAAGATAGCAATATATAAAAAAAGAAAAGAGGACGATGTAGGGTTGCGAAGATACGAAGACAAAATACTTGAGGGAGAATTAAGTGGCGCTAATCGGCCTGCTTTTGAAAATTGGTCGGTACTTCATATAGCATGGAGTAAACAAAGCATTAACGGCAGTTTTCATACTCAACTTTGTATAGCTGCAATCAAAAGATAAATTGTGAGAGTTAGCAGCTTTTGTCGATTTGCTACTCAACTCTACCAATGTAGGTGCAATTAAGACTCAAAAGACTTGAGTACACCGAGTTAAATTGTAACTTGTATAAATATGTACAGGGGCTCCCGTATTTAAGATTTTTCTCCAAAATCATGCAATGATTACTTAGTTATAGTAAAAAAGAAAATGCATGTAACCATAAGCCACAAGACGTGTTCTCGAGGAGTTTGCTTCGATTGACAAGAGTCTTACATGTGTGAATGAGCATCGACGAGTGCATGAGAAAAGGTGTGGTATCATGTAAAGAAGGGACGAAGTAGATACAGCTAGATAAAGAACGAAAGAAAATTGTTAAAGCTGTAGGTAAGCGAAGAAAAGCGAGTTATTTGTTCAATTACGCAGGATCATCAGTTCCACTTGGTTTCGAAATTCATTTGAATGGCTCTACAATGGTATCTTTTCATTTGAATCGACCATAAGTAACTATTGTAAATAAAAAATATTGAGTTACATTCCATTTGTACCGTATACATAAAAATGACCAAAACACTTTATTTCCAAGTAACTCGCTTCTTAGTGCACAAGTTAGAATGTAGGGAAGAGCCAATAAAATTAAGCGAGTAAACAAAATGCATGAACGAGTAAAAGCAAATCAAAGCAAGTATGAGATAAACAGAGTGAAAGTTTGGCGCACGTAACTGAGACTTGAGTGCCTGAAAGCGGGTACATAAAACCATGTTCCTCTGCAATAGCGATGCGTGTAGCGCTGCTAAAGTGTACGAGTGCGTGTATGCTTTCGTTTTCTTGTCCTCGAGAACGAGTCGATATCGATTTTTCTGCCAATTAAGAAGAGAAAAACACATTTATTGTAAAGCATTTTCATTATTCGTTTCATTTCTTCGTTTTTTTTTCTTTCTTTTTTACAAGTCCGTCAATTTAGACTTATTCTCATCGCGATTGATCGTTTATCAAAAGCGAGCGTTCAGAGAGACGTATGTAAGCACACTTTGGTCCCCTCCCTCCATTATCACAACGTTACAAATACTTAACAAAGCCCTCATAATTTTTTCCATTGAATCTTCAAATTTTATCTGTCAAACAGTAAGTACGAAGCGCTGTGCTCTGAGTCAGCGATTCTCGCGAATCCATTATTATATCTCTTCACGAGATTTTTCAACAATACCAATTTCCAACTTAGAATAAATTATATATAATAAAGTCATTCTAAGGAAAAATAATGAAAAATTAGAAGCGTTGTTACTTGTTATTTATGAACTACACATACATTTGGACCTGTAACCAAAAAACCGATAAGCGGACGATTTTCGATGAATTTGGCTAAATTTTGAACGATTGGATAACTCGAGGGCTTAGTTGACACGCGTTAAACATAAAATGTTTTCTGCAATTCAAAGAACATTCAACACTTTGTAATTAAAGAAGAACAGTTAACAAATAACTATATTTACCTTCTACCGTGTAATTTTTACTAGCAAACAACCTACGACACCGAAACTTAGCTTCGATTTTTATATTAATTACAATATATAAATAAAAATATATACATATATATATATATATATATATACATAATAATATAACGACAATAACAAGTGAAAAAATATCTTCTTTTTAAAATAAAGAGAATTCTTGCTTCTCGTCTTTCTCCATAACAGCCATATCTTGCACGAAATCCGGCCCTGCAGTTTGTTATTCCCTGATTGTATGATCTACTTATTCGCACTCATAGTATTAGAACCATATCAATATCTGACCTGTCACTCATCATTTAAGAAAGATGGGCGCGTCAAGATTCTGGTTTATAATAAAAAGAACCAGTATGTTATGCATTGTTACGCGTTAGCAGATTATTTAGCACTTGCCGTAGTATTTTTTGTCTAATTTGTCGATCTTCCATATGTATAAATTCAATTTCTATAAAATTACTTAATATCTATCTCGACCACATTGAATGAGAAGTATAAAAATGTTTAAATTCAGTAATTGTAACTTAACCACTATATATTTTTCCATATCGATAATACTATGTTAAGAAAATAATAAGAGAACAAAATACTTTTGCATTCGAAAAATCTGATATTTAGATTGAGCTCGTAATTAGGAGTTTCAGATTTCAAAGACTATAGGTTCACTTAGGTCGATAATGTTTCACTTCTAAGAATCAAGAGTAGGTTGTTTGCCAATCTATGGTTTATTTGTATAAGGAATCGAATTAGCAGAACGAATTTATTTTATATGTTTGTATTTAAAAGGCAGCACTGTCAAAAATAGGTTATTACTAGCTAAAAGCAATTTATACTGTACAATACCTATTTAATAGTCCTCTCTTAATATCTTAAGCTTTTGTTTTGGAACCAAGAGTCTGCTTTAAGAAACAACAAAAATAAATAAGAATAAAAATCATTTCATTATAAATTTGAGTAAAATATTTATTTTCACTTTCTTCACTTCTAATTATTGTCTAATCTAGTCAATATGTAGAGCTTAAAAGTAGTTTGGATGTTATTAGTGATATTGTAGTTTAGAGAAGAATCATTGAATAACTTTGCTTTTATGAAAAATTCATTTTCATTTATTAATACTTATACTCCAATTTGCGCTTACTAATATATATTTTTCATATCTTAAGACAAATTAATTTATCATTTGAATACTTTAAGGATTATAACAATCGAGATTGGTATCATTTACAAGGCAATGAAAGTTATTTTTCATAAAAGTTTAGCTTTAGAATTTGTATAATTCTATACTTTTTGCAGAAAGTACTATTTATAGACTGAATCACAAATTGCTACCTTGGATAGACAAACAATGATAACAATACAAAAGAAAGTATCAATGAGTCTGATAGATTTCGTTAAGATGTGGGCTACGGTGTGCGATTTCTGCAAGCAAATAACTCAGTGTTTAAAGAGAATCAGCTTTCAGTCTCAAGAACAAATGCACCTAGCCGACATATAATTCCCAGGTACAAGTGAGGGAAGAGCTATTTAGATACACCCAAGAATAAGGTAAATTGATGTATGAAAATATGAAGTTATTGATTAACGCGCAAAGATAAAAAAAAGAAACGGACAATAAAATATGTGCTAATAAGTAGCAGGTAGCGTACACAAGGCAAGGTTCTTTCAGCAGCCATTGCCTAGACACACACACCTTTATTGAGGACCGGGCGGGAATCGTTCAAGCAGTTAGCATACGTTTCGAATTCAAGTCTTCCAAGATTCGAGTTTTCCCAAATTGTTCGAGGCGTAAAATTAAGGTCTAGCTATTGTCTAAAGCACGACATAATCCTCAGGTCCTGTTTGAGCCTGAGCTTGAGGCCGATACTGAGCCTCTTTTATTACGCGGCGCGACGGTTCCTCTCGCGCGTCGAAACCAAAAAATGGACGGATTAGGAACGCATGTTTTTAATTGCAACTTCCGAGCATGAATAAAGTAATAATACGTTATTTCTCGAATTTATACTGCTTGAGCGTTGAAGTCTTCTAATAAACAACCTCTTTACTCTTTTTTTATAGATCGCACTCAAATCATTACAAGGCTATCCGTTTATAACGAACTATTAATTTATTTTTAATAAGCAGTTATAAAGTATAGTTATATCTAAATATTTAAAAATAATATACATATTCAGCCTGAATCATTATTTTGACATACCTTTATATTATTCAAGTACGTGAAATAATACTATTCATGTTTTGCAATTTATTTGAAAAATAGCTCAAAATATAATAAATAGATGAAACTGTTTGAAAATGTTAGTAACTTCCCTCTATAACTAGTATATAGACATAGATTTATGCAACGTACAAATTGTACACGGTTTGATTGTCAAATACATTGTTAATTGTTTTTCTACTTTTATAGAAGGAAACTTTTATAATAAGTTCACTGCTAAACGATAAAATTATAACAATAAGTACATGTACGATTTTATTCAAAACATATGAAAATTATTTACAATTTTATTGACATTTACACGATATGGTTATTTAGTTTACTTAATCTTAATTAACAAGGCACGCATACAGGATTACATATAGCAATTTATAATTTTGAATTTCACATTAAATATTTCCTTTTAGCAGCGTTCTATCAAAAAGTAATTCACTCAATTAGTGCAGGAAAGAGAGTTTACTTGAAAAATAGAAAACTTTTCAATTTTCATTACGTTTATGTCAAGCTTTTTCAAAAATATCATTATTCAGTTATTCAAAAAAACGTCTTCATTACAATAATTCATTCAAAAGCATTCGCATTATTATACAATAAAATAATTACAATACACTATCTATAGACGCGACTCAATAGTTTTCTTCTGTTCTTCTTAGATTACTCTTATCTTTTAAAATTACAATACAATCAAATTTTAAAGAAAATAAATATCCAATATTTTAAAAGATTCAACGAATTATTATTAAATATGTTCGAAATGAAAAATTCCTTCGCACCTAGTAAGAAATTGAAAAAGAAGTATTATCATTGAATATGAAGTATGGGACTCAGTTTTTTATCTACTGATAATTACATTTGATATCATTTCAAAATTCTAATGCTATCAATGCTCAAAATTAATTTACTTATAACCATAAAACAATAAAAATAATCAGAGACCGTAGTTTTTGGTATCATACTCAATAGTAATTTGTATAATTTAGAGATATAATAGTCAAACGAAATAATTTAGATTGACAAATAATATAATGATCCTGACTTTGGTATAGAATGGTAGAAATAAATATTTCAATTGTCAACAATTTCTTTCTATACCACAGTCGTCGATATTTCGCTCTCAATAAATTCGTCGTGCTACGAATTAATGATATAACTTATCCAATCCACTGTCTTCGCAACTCGATGGTAAATTCCTGGCTGTCCTGGTTGTGCACAAGAATAACCAGCAGAAACAATGCCAATGAGATACCATTTTCCTGTCTTTTCCAGCATCAAAGGACCGCCACTGTCGCCCTATTTCGATAAATAGAAGAATTTATGAATGTGGGTAAGTAAGTTTCCATTCCATGGAAAAAATATATGTTATGATGTGATTGAATGATATTTACCTGGCACGAATCCTTACCCCCTCCCCGATAGCCAGCACACATCATTTCATCGTAGATAACAACATGAATGCCGTTAGAACGGTGCCAGCGTTCGCACATGCGGTTGTCTATTACGGGTACGTCCACAGCCTGTAAGGTTTTCGGTCGTAGCCTCGATCCTAAAATTTAGAAAATCATATATTAATTCGAAAACCGTGAAGGAATATTCAGCGAAAGAATTATTGAAATGAACAAATAGAATTTACCTGCTTGAAGAGCACCCCAACCGGCAGCCCAGCCATATTGTCCGAGAAAATCCTCATTCTTTTCTGGTAAACATATTGGAGCAATATGAGGCATGTAGTGCACTGGTCGATCAAGCCTCAAAACAGCGACATCAAATCTGAAATATTTTTATTTTCACAATCAATCGCGTGTCAAAGATGCGCATCGCAAAATTTCCGTGGGATTTATAGTTGAACTAGTGCACGTGAATGATTTCATGAGAAATCGTTGAAATGAACAATATGTTTACAAGGCGCGTTTGTGTTTTCACTTGTCTCGTATCCTGCGCAGAATCTAAAAAAAATCAACTTTTCACGTCAAAATGAATGGAAAAAATAGTGTACACGGCATAGAAAATCCGTTGAGAATTTCTCTTCCCAGTCTTTAAATCACTTTCAAACGTCATCTTCAATCTTTCAAGATTGCGAACGTTAATTGAGAAACGAAGGTCATCACGGCAAACAAGATAGGCATGCTCGCACGCAACGTGGCGCGTTAGAGCCGAACGAGATATAAATCAAAATCGAATGGAGCGCGCTTTACCTGTCGGCCTGTGGTGTGAACTTGAAGTGTGGATGTACTCGTATCTCCCTTACGCCAAAAGTGTAAGCCGGTAGCGACTCTTGTGCCGAATTGACGACGTAGTCGCCGAGTGTTACTTGTACTTGACGAGGAGCCGCCCTAAGTGAATACGAAAATCAATATGATTATAGCCATCGTTCTATGCTGGAAAAAGCAAAAGAAGTAAGATGAGTCTGAATGGAAAAAAATGATTTATGCTAACTTGGCTACGCAGTGACCGGCTGTAACAACGTGAAAGCGATTCACAAGTGTACCTCCACATCTACTGGATCCTATTCTAATATAAGCCTAAAATAGAGAACAATGCAATGATTTCCAATCTTGACTTGTTTCATGTGAAGAATCAATGATAGTAACATTGCAACAAACGTTACTTTACCTGCCAGGGAAAGGTACCGAAGCCAGCCTCATCGCCGCCAACAATTCTTCTCTGGGCCGTCTGTTTTGTAGCCGAAATACCACACTCTGTAATGATCAGTTCAACCGAATAAAAGTAAAGTTAATTGTAACTTTCGGCATAGTGTTATAAACAACAAATAATAAATCAATATTAATATACTACGATTCGACAATAAATGGGTTACCGCTTAACATTATTACGCAGCATTCGCGAAGATTCGTTATTACACGTATGGAAGTAGAGGCCGAGGAAAGAAGTCAAAAAGATTTAGAAAAACAAATATGAATGATAAAAAGGTGACAATACATTGTGCGCTCGACTGACGTGCCTGGACCATCTAGATAAAGAAGAGAGATCTGGTAGATAGATAGTAAATACAAGTTACACGATGACACACTGCTCGCAGTCCACTGTTTAACGTTTGCTGGTTGCAGAGATCATTAATATACAGTGCGAACCATCGACAACATTCCAAATAAGCGAGCATATACCAAACAATATCAACCATGCAATCGAATGAAATTTTTCTTCAAACAAATGGAAAGATAATGTCACCTCTCGTCAGTCGATCAAATTCATAATTGTTGGTCAATGAACTGCCGTCAATTCAATTGATTATTGTCATTTCTTTTTACAAAACTAAAACGTCTACATAATATTGACAGAAGTTTATTATACCTCAACAAGTTCATCGGCACTTCAACCGAAGAAACGATGAGTTGGAAATTAAACGTATCGTTAGTGCATTCTCGTGGAAAAACGTGCTGTTGCGTGCCGTGCGTTTCTTTTTTACGTTCGTTAAGTCACGGAGCAGTACTACGTATATAACTATCTATGTACAAATATCATCATTTTTATTTTTCATGCACATGCCCAATCAATGGTGTTAGACTACAATTACAAGTGTACCAAATTCCAGATTTTTCTTTTTAAATGATGAATGTGTTGAATGATGTTTACAAAATTCAAAAGTAAGTTTTTGCTTTTTTGACTGAGAAAGTTACTTGCAGGAAATGATCCATTTCACAACACAATTACTGCTCTTTTTGAACAAGTCAAATTAAAAATAACGGCATTGAGCGACAAAATGAAAGATCAAGTTTAGAATTAATAAAAAAAGTATGATACCGTATAAAATGGTAGCAGTCGATATGAAAGTAACAGTGTACAGTAGGTAATGTAAAGTAGTGAGTTGTGTGCATGTATCCCAGAATAGCGATCGGTCTTGAGAAGTCAAAGTCAAATGGGGGGGACGTGTGAAAACTTACGATCGTCACTGGTGGCCTCAGCAACGTAAGGGTCGCTGGCAAGGGACTGTATCTGATCTCGTGGCTCGTCGACGTAATTATAATCATTGCTTGCCTTAGCCGCGTCTTTAGTCCGATGGCAGCAGGCGTACATAATGCCGCCGCAACTGCCGTCCAGTAAGCCCGCGGACATCCAGCACATTAGAAAAAATTCGCAGCTCCGACCGTCAGCGCACAACGAATCGTCACCCTTCCACGTCGGTCTCTTTTCTTTCCGCGGTTCTGCACAGAAGGGCTTTTAGGGACTTTGTTTTTCGTTTCTTTTGCAAAATTACTCACTACTCACATTTGTCTCTCTCTCTCTCTCACTCGTTAATAAACGACAACGGAAACATAAATTATTTTGTTCGATGAACGTTAAGTTAGATATTTATTCGGCGTTTTACAGAAACATCAACTTTTTAGTTTGAAACCGAGCGTAAAAATATTACACAGCTGTTGTAATATAGACCGAAAAGGAACAAGTGAAATAGCATACCATTTATTTAGATCACGGGGATACCTCGTATATGTATCTTTTTCCAGGATTATCAGATGAAAACACGCTAACTTTTAATTTTTTTTGAGTATATACAGTTTTACATCAAAACGTTTTTTCATGCAAGAGTAAGTACAAACGCTCACACTGGTTTAACGTACCTGTTTCTATCCGGGGATATTCGTTGAAAATTTGTTTTCGGTGATCTGCAATTTTATCACATGTATCAATTAAAATTCAAATACAATATTAACAAAAAGAAGCTAACGATGGTTTTGTCAATTGATAGGCTTCCGGTTCACAGTGCAATAGTTACCTAGCCATAAAATTTGTGATACTAAAAGATGTAGAAAAAGACTTGAGTAAACAAGTGAAATGCTCACCCCTGTAGTCGTCTTCGATTTCCGATAACTGGTTCGATTGAAAAAAATTATTATTGCTTCCGGATACGATGGGAAAATCATTATCTCTGAATATCAGTCTCGGCGTCCTGTGTCCCATAACCGGTGCCGATGGCCTCACAACTGGATACTCGGATGCCAAACTATGTGGTGGGCCGGAAAACTGCCTCCAGTAAGACTTTTGCTGTCGCCATCCTGGATTATATTGACTGCTACCGAATCTCATGTTCGAATATCCGATGTTTCGGGATTGTGGAATGGATGGCGGTAGTCCGGTGCCTTCGAGAATGTAGCTTGGCGGCAACCCGGGAAACCGCACGAAACGACGTCGTCGCTTTGTCCGACTGCGCGTCGAGTTGGCGAGAAGCCGCTCATCTCGAAGAAACGGGCCAATGTTACTGCTGCTGCTGGGGCGCACAACAGAAGTCTGCTCTTGGCTGGCACTGATGTGACTCGACTGAAGACCGAGGAGGATACCGAGCAATAGGCAACTGCATGGCTTCGTTATCAGCATTTTATTGCTGAAAATCAAGTGATGAATCAGCTATTAGTCATACGTAAAGGTAACTTTTTGTTATTTCATGGACAGATGTCAATCACAGCAACAACAATCTCAACGCATGAAGTGAAATTCAAATGCTCTTTATAATCATTTTGTACATTTCATATGCGCGCGCACGGAACCGTTATTACGCTCTTGTTTATATAGTAGCTGTGCTCGTGCCTACGGAAATAATTTTCTTACTGTATTCGAAGAGCTTTCTCCACTAAATATTAATCCAGTGAAATAGCTAAAAAAAGAAGAAAAATGGATGTTTCATTGTCTGGTGGAGATCGACGAAAAAATCTTTATTGCATGCCATAGATCCCAACTTCTATAGCGTTTAAATAGACGAAGATTTTGTAAATGTCAATAATTTTAAGAAATTTTAAGGAAAATTGCGGAAATCTTGATCTTACAATGTTTTGTAAATACCAATTTGGATACATCACTGATTCAACTTCATTTTATTATGCATGTGAACCAGTTATGATATTTTTCTAGCCATATAGAATAAACATAAATGGAACATAAAGAAGTTCAATGCTGCGAGTAAAATGTGAAAAAATTCTTAAGGTTGTCAAACCCATTGAGTAGTGAATTATCATAAACATAATTAAAGTACCGAATAAAAAAAACGAAAGTAGATGAAATATCGGAGCTCTCTAATTACCGATAACACACTATCTAGCATGCATGTGCTTTTAACAGCAGATATCTTTTACAATTTCACTTCGGTTTTATAAACACACAATTGTAGACTGGCAAGAGTGAGCTTAGACTTTCTCTACTTACTCTTGCAAGCAGTATAAACCGAAGAAGACCTTACCATTTTCTAAGTCGTTGGCCTTTGGAAGTGCATCTAATTCAACATCACAGCGGAAGCAAAATTGTACAAGTCGAGTACATAAACGTGACACACTCGCTGTTACTATAAAAAAAACGTATCCGTGCACTCTCGAAGCCTTTCCTTAAATCATCGCGTCAATTTAAAAGAGAAATTTCTTTTCTCTCGTTTTCGAAGATAGAAAAAGTTGCTAGAATTGTCATTACATAACGTGTGCTTTCGACCATTACGAAAAATCATTCAATAATAGTACAAATAATCATTTTTTACTCAAAGATTAGATTACAGTTCTAAACGAAACCCCTCTTTTTGGTCTTTCTCCACATCAGAGCTTTTGAAAATTTAATTTTTTTATAAGTGACATTTTGTGTGTATCATTTGATTAATCGTCACAAAAAACGCCATTCACAGCAATTTCTCATATCGTTGACAAATTAATAATCAAGTGAAGAAAGCATGATCTGTTCTCATTGTGAAATGTTTTAAATTTTATATTATTCATAAAATAATATAGTGTTGCGTACGAGGATTCTATGCAAGAATTCGTAAAATAATATTTCATTACATCATAGTTTCACAAAGACAAGCTGTCGAAAAGAAACCTAATTGCTGGTTCGTCATCCACAAGAAGCTAGAGCAACGACAGTCCATTTATCGACCATAACCGCGCGTCTAGAGAGAAATAAAAAAATTATGATTACTCAATAGAACAATCAATCTATTAATCGTCAGTTTCTACCCTTAGCTGAGCACAGCACATCGTTTCGCGCGACAATTGCAAGTCATCCATCGTGAGTTCGCGATCGTTGAACTTTGGCAATTCACCGTGACGCGCTTCTCCAAATTAACAACCTCTGTCACACCCATTAAAGTCTCGATCCTAGCTCCTCGACAAAGGATTAACAAAGTGCCCATCGACCTTTAGAAAGCGCAACACGCCATGCGAGCATGTCCCCAAGCCACTGAAATCCAGTTTGCGTCATATTTACAACATAATGGAGTGAAAGTACCGGAGAGCAACTCTTCCGGAACTGCTCGAGTCCGCCGTCACACATCCCTCAATCGCACGACTAATTTACCGAAATCGGCATTGCTTAATTTCTCTTCTGCTGTTGATTACGTCACGCTGGGTCGATTAATGGACCGACAAGATCGTGAATAACTACTATACCCGGCTCGCTTAATTGAGTTATTAACCGATTGCCTGTCAACTATTACAACTGTCTTGGTAATAATTAATCCAGACAAATGGCTATTCATTCGATTCGAAAACTTGTGCGATATATCGACTGGTATGTTGATAGAATCCATAAACAGGTATGCGTGTCATTAAAACTATAACTGTTGAGCTTTAACAACTGATAAACATAGGAATCTCGAATGGTATTTATGAGGAAATAACTTTCGCAGTGAAATACCAGTGTGGAAACGTTTATTTGATCGTTTCGTTTACTCGACGATTAATAAAGTTATGCATCATTCCAAAATAACACCTGCAACTTTCAATCTTAGCAATACCGATAAAAAAGTTTGATGATCTCTAAGTAAATCGTTTAATAGGAGAAATCCTGAGATTACGACTTGATTTAAACTTAAAAAATGAGTTCCTTGTGAGAGATTCGTAAAATGCGCCTGAAAGTGGAAACTGCACGATACATACGTAATCACACACACATACACACGCGCGTGCATGCACACACCGAAACTCGCGATGATGATTTCTTTGAAAGCAGAAGACGCTCGATCGTTGAGTTTCCTGCGGATCGCGTGTCGGAAATTGCCCATCCGATCGCAATAATATAAGCGGACAATCACCGGAGAAGAAGAGGCTGCTGCAAGGAACAATACCTCACCCGCTTGTCCCGCGTCGGAAGCAAACGCGTTCCGATATTATACGCGCGCTTTCTCCACCGCTGCTTCTGCTGCTGGACGCTTTCATCGAGCATAGTGCCTCTAACTGCGCGATAGCAATTACAAGCAGCCGGCGCGAGGCTCGATAAATCGCCGATTTACTTTCGAGCGCCTCAGCAGATTGAAAATTCGATCGAGAAAGGATGCGCTCTCGTCTCGACTTTGCCGATGTACAGGTAACTTTAGCTTTCGACTGGGAGAGACGATCGGAGTCTATCCGCTCGGCGAATTAAACGCGATTCACTTTTAATTTGGCGCGTGCAGCAGCTTTCGATTGAGGTGTACAACGCCGCGGCGCGCTTCTTTTAATTGAATGGTCTTTCAAGATTGTTACACGCTACTGCGCGCGAGCGCTCTAAGCATTCGACGATTCGTTCGGTTTAATTGGTTTTTACTATTATTGTCCGCTCGTGATACTCTTCTTGACCGATATTCAACGAGAAAACGAGCTACCTCGATCCGTCGATTATGCTCCGCGATGCAAACTCTTGTTTCCGCCTCATTGTTTGCCGTACGTACAAGCACTTACTCCGCATCAAACCTAGCGGCTACAGCAAATTACCGCGAAACAAGGTACTCGCACAGGATTCCATCGTAAAGTTGCTTTTATCCAGCGGTATGATCGAACTTTCGATGCTCAATGTCAGAATGAATGCATCCTCGCTACGCGGACTTTCTCTGCATCGCACGGCGATCAGCAAAGGTTATAAGCGATTTCGCAAATTTCCACATTCTATATTTGCATATTTCTCGAAATTTTTGTGACTGCGCGATGCCGCATGCGGCGTTGTCCGGTAAATTTTCTCCTATAGAAATCAAGTGATCGATAAATATTCGTAGTCGCTAACTTAGAGCTGTCGAAATAGATAATAATCTCGAAAGTCGGCAATCACAAAATATAAAAATGTTCATTTATTTAGGCAGAGGTCGTTGTCTAGTCAACCCTTTACTTTATCTACTTACACGCATTCATAGCACGTCTATAGCGTATTCTTAACGACTATAGCACTGGATCAATTAAAATAATTCATAACGGAATTGTTCCGTCATTGGATATCGCGTAAGTCACGTCAAAGATATAATAAAGCTCTATACCGTATCACGATGTAGTAAATAGAACGTCCTTGTGAGCGCTCTACGTGTTAGTAGGTCATTGGCTCGGTCGCCGCTACCGATCGCGAGCCGCAGTATTCACACACGCGCGCGCGCGCTCGTACGATACTCGCAACCTAAAGTGAAACTTAGGCGTACGTATACACGATACATATATTGTGGACCAACCGACCCTCACTTCTCTTAGCCACCAATGACGTCATCAAGCCCATTGACATGCTAAGTGATATCCGCGAGAGAGAAATGCTTTTTCTTTCTTTTTCTTTTTAAGCTCGCAATTTCGTCGACAACAACGATTTTTGATAGTATACGCGTGGCCAATTACTTTTACCTTTCACTGACAGGTTCATACCTTCACACTGTTGAAGGACGACTTCTTTTTGTATTTTTTATTTGTAGTCTCCGATTTAACAAGACGACGAGAGAAATTACTGAGTGATGTATGACGACTGTGTGCTTAGAAAACTTGTCTCCGTTCTCGCGTTGCGGTGTTTTACTCATTATCGTGTATACGTACTTGAGTATACAGGTACAACAAAGCGTCTATCTGTAGTACTAAACATATTCTTTTTACGATTCTCATTCTACGGACGAGTCAAATTATGTTGCTTTATGCTTTTTTCTCTTATTAAACGCGAGAAGAGAAATTTGTCACAACAGTGAATTATAATTTTATAATGAATTGAGTCGGAACGCATTTGTTAAATGTCTTTCTCTCTCTAAACGGCACTGATGCGTTTATTCAAATACATACCTAAGAAGAGTTGATAGAGAGTGAGACTTTCATTCGCTTGCTTTTAATCGATGTTTCGCGATTTGCGCTTCGAATAGAAATTCCACTAAGCGGCTACGCAGTTTAGATGAACCCTGTGCGATTTCACATTGCTGAACATTTCTCTCCCAATAATCAATGAGT